AATAATTTATATATATATATATATATATATATATATATATATATATATATATATATATATAAATTGTTTATAAATAGTTTCTGAGTAACTGCACTTTTTTTCTTTGAGAAACCACAAAACTAAATAATAAAAACTCAAACTTACACAATAAAATGAAAGCAGACCCTTCCATCCGGGGTTACCGGAAACACTTTTAATGTGAAAGTCATCACCGGAAGCTGACCGTCTTGTTCCGTGTGACTTGACAGAATAAAAGTAAACGCGGAAGTGAGACTGAAGTCAGTTTCGCAACTTGAAAAACTCACAAGCTTCAAGTCGGAGTTTGAACTTTCGCAGCTGGAAACTTTATATTTTATTATTTTTATTATATTTCTGAGAACCGGAAGAAGAACCCTGAACGGTGAGTTTGTTTCTGAAACATTAACCTTTTATGACTTTGTTGTATTTATTACTGTTTCCTCGCTTCCTGTCTTATCGGAAGGTTTTAGGCCGTTACAACCTGCAGAGTGAGCACGCGCCAGTCTGCGTTCAAACATCTGTCTACTTATGTTTGCACGCAGTTTCTTTAGTGCAGCGACACTGCATCCGGTTTAAAGTACCTCCACATATACACAGACACCCGCTCTGCACTTCGGCATCACACACACACACACAGTCCCACCAGAGAGGCTGCACTCTTGTGGCATTCCCCTCACCTCTTCACAGCAGAAAGCTGTGTGTGAGCCGCTATATGTGAGATATCTCTAACGTAAACTGCGTTATGGTTAAACGGCTTCCAGTGAACCCGTTAGTCACGCGCTGAGGTGCGTCTGTATGTGTCAGTAAACACCATGTTATTGAATAAACTCAGTTTTTAATACAGTTTGGTTTCGCTGTAAATAACAAACATGAGTTTCAGGCTCCAGCTGGTGACAGACGAGCTCGAGGCATTCAGTGTGTTTTATGAGCAGATTAAATATTATCTCTCGTTTCATAATAACTCACCTGAACTCGACCTGTTTCACGTTCTCTCTGAGAAAACAAAGAACATTTATATTTAAATAAACTTCTTCTTCTTCTGCTGACATGTTGGGCTCCACTTCAGCCTGTTGCATTATGGGATGTCACTGCAAAAATCAGGTCATACGTCATGTCATGATATTTAATAATAATTATATCATAGTCATAATTAAATGATAAAGTGTCTCAATGTGACTAGAAATATTTAAAATAAAATCACTTTATTATTTAAGAAAAGTGTCTGATAAATAAATAATGAATCATAATATATTAATAAAATACTACTACTAGTATAAACTGTTTGTTTCATATTTAACATAATATGTTTTATAAATATATTCTTTGTTTTTTGTGTAAAATTATGACTTTGTAACAGAACTAAAGTTCTCTGATAAATGTAATAAAGTATAAGTATGATGTGGCATGAAAAGAAAGTACTGAAGTAAAGTACAAGTACCTCATATTTGTACTGTAGTGTAGTACTTTGGTCACACGTGAAGGTAAATGAGACCGTGGTGAGTTCGAGGACCGTCTGGAGGCGTGTCCTCTGAAGTGACGCTCAGTGTGTAACAGTATTTTTTGTGTTCAGCTCCATCATGCCTGAAGTTTACGCCTCGACGACGGCCCCCAACCCCAAAACCTCGTGGCTCATGTTGCCGACAGAGACCCTGGAGAAGGCCCGCGGTGGGATCAAAGTCATCCAAGTGGTTAGTTCAGGGACACCTCGTGAGTTCTGGTACTACGTGTTACAGCAGGATGTCGAGAAGGACGTTGATGAAGTCGATAATCGGCGATATGTGTGATTTAGTTCAGTTGGTTCTGTCGCCCCCTGTGGACTAAAGTGGTAGTGTCTCTGAGCGCCAGACTCTCTTTAGAAAACCTCTAATGTTACTGCAGCAGGTCCGACAGTCTGCCCCTCTCAGTCCTGGTTCTGGTTCTCCCGTGCCTCACTTCCCTCCAGCCGGGAGCTGAGCTCTCCTCCTCCTTCTGGAGCTCCAGATCTGGGTCTGTCCATGGTGGACCTGTGTGTGTGCTTGTGCGTGTGACCTCTGGACCTTCCTCTTCAGAGTGGGAAGTGAAAGTTCTGCAGAGGGAGCTGTCGTTAGCAGATCTGAGAGCTGCTGACCCTCCGCTGTTGCAACAGTTAACAGATGTGTGTGTGTGTGTGTGTGTGTGTGTGTGGGGGGGGGGGGGTCCTCATGTTAGTGACCGTTGGATAAAAAGAGGATGTGGAGGTCAAACCTCTCCATGACACACACACACACACACACACGTTCTATTCTAAAACTCATCTGTCGTCTGATTTCAGAGCAAGTATTTCGGATCCTTTTACTGCAGTAAAAGTACTAATACCACCGCACTGTGAAAGTACTAATACCGCACTGAAAGTACTCCATGACCAGTCAGAGTCCGTGTGCTAACGAGTTACAAACGGCTTCATGAGACTCGAGATGTTTTACAATAAAATCAATTATAAAACAATTTACTTTAATAAACAGTTTGTTATAAAATGTTGTTTATTAAAGAGTAGCGACTGTTTATTGATTCTGTATTTAAATAAAAATAGTCCTCCTCTTCCTCCCTCTCCTTCTTCTCCTCTCCCTCCTTCTCTTTCTCCTCCTTACAGAAGATAAAAGAGTTTCATGGAACATAACTGTATTCATGATGTTAAATTATTTCAGCAGTTGCATTGTTTGTGAGAGCTGGATGTGGGCGGGGCTTCACTGGGTCGTACCATCACAGTTCCTGTGTGTGGGGGGGTGGGGGATGAGGGCGAGGCTGCCGTCCTCTTCCTGTTGACTCAGCGGTTCACTGCTGATGACACTCGTACTGGTTTCATGCGTCACATTCATAAATCAAGAGATGATGTAATACAAGTTATATTAAAGGATGTGACGCAGTTAAAAAGTTAAAGATTAATTTAAATTCATCTTTTAACAAAATGAACCAAAACACTGATGAAGAGGATATCGGCTCGATAATAATAACAATAATAATCATTCCCTCAGCAGTCAGATATATATAATTTACTATATATTAAAGTGTTTTATTCCAGAGACTCGGACATCTTAGTGTAGAAATCAACCTGTCGGCGCCCTCTGGTGGACAAACGTATCTATGACATCATGTTTATCTCTTTATGTGAGATGTTTACTCTACTGTAAATATAAAGTTATTAACTGATGTTTCCTCTCCTCACTAGCTCCTCTCCTTCATCCTAGAGGAGACATAAACTGATGTTTCCTCTCCTCACTAGCTCCTCTCCTTCATCCTAGAGGAGATATAAACTGATGTTTCCTCTCTCCTCACTAGCTCCTCTCCTTCGTGGCCTTCATCCTAGAGGAGATGGTGATCAGCTGCAGCAGCTGCTCTGCTCTCTACTTCTTTGAGTTCGTGAGCTGCTCAGCCTTCCTCTTCACTCTGCTGCTCCTCATCCTCCTCTACACCAGCCTCAACACACGGGTGGGCATCAGCTGCTGGCCCAAGCTGGTAAGACCTCACTCATCACCATGTATCAGTTTAATAATAATAATAATTATTACAAGTAGTCATAACTTTAATGGAGATTTAAATGTAGTTTATATTCATAAAAACATGAGAAAATGTACGTATGTATCTTTCATGACCGTCTCCTCTCTGAGGCCGTCTTTACCGTAATAACTCTAATTTAAGAGCAACTAAATTCAGTCTTTACCGTAATAACACTAGTTTAGTAGCAACTAAATTGTCTTTACTGTAATAACTATCACCATGTATGAGTTTAAATAATAATTATTATAAGTACAGGGGTCATGTTCAGCGAATACATTTTGAATTTATGGAATTAAAGTCACAATTTCATGAGAAAAACATCTTTATTTACAAGAAACAAACTCACAAATTTGTGATATTGTGAAGTCAGAACTCAAATGGTTTAAGTTTAGTTTATATTCATAAAACACTGAATGCTTCAGTGAAATGTGAACACGATCATTCAGAGTGACGTCCGTGAGGAAACTTTTAAACATGATGAATCTTTAAGTCTCAGGTTTTAGACTGTGTATAATCATACACGTCATACAGACTTTATAATCATGTGTTCATCGTTCTCTGATCACTTTAAATAAAGGACACTGTGACTGTTCACAGCTCTGAGCTACAGCTTCAACAGAGAACACTCTACTTCATTCACACCGACGGAACCTAAAACACAGAGCGATGAGCTCATTATTATATGAGATTAGTTCATAATAACATTCCATGTTCACAAAACGACTGATCTGATTTGTTGCTCTACCTGACTTATTTTGGAAGCTGCTTTCTGTGTGTCTGCAGTCTGTTGTCCTTATTCTCACATAAGATTTAAAAACTTTATTTATCTAAAGAACAAGTCTCAAGTTGTGCTGCTCTACAAACAGTGTGAAAATATAAAAATAAATCAGGATGGTGCAAAGAGCTAAATGTGCGCGATGACAGAGTTTGTTTTTAAAATCAAAATGAACAAATTTAACAAGGTGTAATTCAAAACAGTATTTATAGGCTCATAGAAATGTACAAATACTTCTGTGATTATTTAACTCATTTGAAGATCTTTTCCTGAACCTAACTAAGTTTCCTGTGAAGACGGAACTTTATTTTGAAAAGACCGTATCAACGCAACAAGCGGAAGTGTTGAGTTAATAGATATTAACTTTGTTTCATGTCATGTGACATGTTTAGATACAGACATTGAAACTGGTAATGTTTCTGGTTTGAGTTTATATTTGACACTTTGTTTCAAAATAAAAGCCCTCTAGCATCTTTCTATGGACAGGGCTTTTATTCTGAAATATTTGCTAGGCAGTGTGACCTGCACTTAAGTTAAAAATGAAACTGACCTTTTTCAGTGGATGTTCTTCATGACCACGTCAGCTTGAAGTCCAAAAGCTCAGGAAGTCTTCTTAGAGACACCTGGTTCTGTCACTAAAAACAAACTTATTATTATTATTATTATGAGGAGATAGTGACGGACAGGACAGCTTGTTGTTTCTGCTTCATGCTTAAGTGGAATATAAAATAGAATAACTGACCCTGAACCAGTTTTTGGACGGTTTCCTTCGTGGCGGCAGCGTCCCTCTTTCTGAATTTCAAAATAAAAGTCCGTCCAGTGTACTGCAGCAGTTGTTGGGGGGTTGGGGGGGGGGGTTACGGGAGGATGTCTCTGAGGCGAGGAGAGGACTTCCACACGCCGGCATGTCCGCCATGACAGCTCCACTTCACCCTCACCTGCGCTCCCGAGTGGAGGAGCTGCTTGTCCGTGATTGGCTGCCCGCAAGTCTGACACCTCCTGAACAACTCCATCAGGCTGCGGCTGTAGACGACGGCGCAGTCTTCGTCGGCGTCTTCGTCGGATGACGTCGTAGTGTTGAACTCGTGGTCCCGAGGGTCGACCGACACCACGATGCAGAAGCTTTCGTCCACCGCCGGAGGCGACTGAGAGGAGCTTCCTGCAGCGCCGACGCTCGTCTGTCGACAATGTGATCATAAATTATGAGTCACGCAACAATATCGCTAATCTAAGAACGCTAATCTTAAATTTAAAGAGACAGATGTCGATTAGTGGCGTTACGGATCAGCACTGATCAATGTTTATCGTTAACCATCACGATGTAAATAAAGTTTTAATGATGATCGTTCTCCAATATTCATATAAAGTAATAAATATATATATTAATTAAAACGAATCAAAGAACTTAATAAATTATTATTACTATTAATACAAATATTCAAAAACAGGAAAAAATACTTCTAAATAAATGAAGGACATATATATTTGTAATCATTACAATTAGCAAACCTACTTAAAGTTGTGAGTTTATTAGTTGACTTTACTTAAATATTTTGAGTTCATTATTTGAGTATTTTTAGTGTCGTTTTGGCCCTTTTTGAGTAACTAATACTACTTCATTAATTATTATTTAGTAAACAGAGAACTAAAGATAGCTGGACTTAATAAACCACATTATTTCTTCGCTATAAATATTTAAATATGTTTTAATATTGTGTATATATATTTTTTATTTTTTTACCTCCGTTCTGGTTCTCTTCGGATCCGGCGGTGACGCCTCATTCCCGGCTGGCTCACCGTGCTCTCTCCCCGGGAACACCGACGGCACCGCGCCGCTCTTCAGCACCGGTTTGGGCGCGACGTTCAGGATCTTGGCCCGGAAGTCCTGCTCGTAGTCGTCGGGTGTGAAGTGCAGGCTGCACACCCGCACTCCTCCGTACCGGGACACCGGCGTGTCCTCATCGAACCGCGGGTTCCGGATCGCTTTGAGCCACGTGCGGCAGCGCTGCGGGTCTCTCGTCGGTAAACCGTGGAAAACGACCCCCATAGACTTCGCCTCGTCGTAGCCTTTACACCCGGGAACACAGCACCGCCACGGCATCGTGGAATATAAACATATATAAATGGTATATTGCGACTGTAGCAGCTAAATATGTTTTACATTTAAAGAAAACGATGCGTAGTAAAGGCAGGACGCTACTTCCGGGGTTCTTCTTCTACCAATATATTTCCGGTAGATTACACGCGGCGAGGTGTAATGCTGTCCCTACAGGCAGTAAGCGGCGTTACGTTTAATCTGTTTAGGTACAGGACAGCAAAGCTGGACGAAGTACTCTCATCTTTTACTTCAGTAAAAGTACTAATACCACAGTAAAAAAATACTCTGTTACAAGTAAAAGTCCTTCATTCAAAATCGTATTCTACTAAAAGTATTAACATCAAATATACTTAAAGTACCGAAAGTAAAAAGTATTCATTATGCAGAATATTAAATATAAATTATATAAATGTAATGTTATTACTTTAATGTTGGTAAAGAAGGAGCTTATTTTAATGACTTTATATACTGCTGGTAGTCTAATCTATAATAATACATCATTATTTATTAGTTGATTATATTTAGTTTTTAATAATCTAAGTCTATAGAGAAACTATTAAATAAAGATATCAAATAAATGTAGTGGAGTAGAAAGTAGCAAAAAAGTGAAAATACTAATGTAAAGTACAATTACATCAAAGTACTTGAGTTAATGTACTTGTATATGTAACCACAAAGCTTCATCATCTTCTTCTTCTGCAGGACTTTGTGTACACCGCCGTCATCGCGGTGGTGTTCCTCCTCTCCTCGATCATCTTCACCTCCAGCAACAGCGACACGACTTTAGAGAGAAGTGCTGTGGTGAGGAAACATCCACACCTCTCCTACCTCCTTCTTTTCTTTGTTGCCTCCTACTTTACTTTACTACCTCCTTCTTTCCTCCTCTACTTCTTTCATTTCCGACCTCCTCCTTTTTCTTCTTTTCCTCCGTCTTGCCTTTCCTACATCCTCCTTTCCTTTTCTACCTCCCTATTTCCTTTCCCGTAACTCCTATTTTTCTTCCCTGCCTCCCTCTTTCCTTTACTAACCACTCCTTTCCTTCTCCACGTTATTCTTTCCTAACTACTCCTTTCCTTCCCTACCTTCCTCTTTAATTTCCTAACTACTCCTTTCCTTTTCTACCTCCTTCTCTTTCCTCTCCTTTCCTCCTCCTCCTCCTTCCCTCCTGCCTCTCCTTCCCTCCTGCCTCTCCTCCTTCATACTGAACTTCCTCTCAGATGTGTTTTTAAACCCTGGTTTCGTCCTGCAGGCGTTTGGTTTCTTGGCGTCCTTGATGTTCTTCTTGGACCTCATCTTGTTCGTCAAGAGCGCCGGGTTTCCGTTCCAGAGAGACGTGAAGCCTGAGTCCAGTAACGGCGGCACGGCGGCCGAGCCGGAGACGGCGAAACTCAACACGCCGGCCAGCGCAACCGATTGAGTCCGATTCTAAAAATCCACACGAGTGCGTTCGTTACGCAGATTATTTTTTACGCACTGTCCCTTTAACGCGTCGTCAGGAGGCGGAGCCTCAGCGACCTGGCAGCCATTTTTAGAGTCCTTTAAAAAAAAAAAAAAGAAAATCCTGTTTATAGTCGTCGCTCTGTGCTGAGGTCATCAATGTAATCAATCAATCAGGAACCAATCACAGGGCAGAGCAGCTGTTCTGTTTGTTCTTAAAGAAACAGTACGCGATTCTTTAAGAACAGAGACACTAAAACCACAGAACCACTAACGATTCTGCTGTAAAATGTTTTGATCAACTCAAGGAGTCAGATCAATTTATGGATTCATTGTTTTATCCGTGTTGCTTTTTTTTATTATATATCGTGAAATTTCTAAATGCATTTCAACAAAAGAAATCAAATTACGTGTCAAATGATTAATTCAGTCAAAATGAATGTTTGGTATAAATACGTCTGACGGGTAACAAAATATTATTGTGACACAAAATTAAACTTCCTTAAAACACCAAAAGTCTTAAAAAATCCCAGAAATCTCTGTTTCTTATTGTCACCATATTATTTACGTTTTTCCGTTCGGACCCTGAACACCTCATGAAATTTAGACCGAGATGATTTTAAAGTTTGTGCCAAAATGAAAAAACATTTTTATAATAATTTTATAGTTACTACAAGTCTATATTATATTATGATGTTTGATGTTACAATATTCCGTTTTATTCCAGATTGTTTTTTATTTCTACTACAACCAGCAGATGAGACGTTTTAATTTCTCTCATCTCGATCAATGGGGAGGTTTGTTTTTTTTCTGCTGTTCAGCTCAAAGTTTTCTAACATTTTTAATTTCCAGCAGAAAGAGATTCATTGAAGTCTTAAAAGTGGATCAAGTTTCGGCTCAAAAACACCTTAAAACGTGTATTTGTTCTTTGTTGAGTGACGGCTTTCAGAGACCAATCACATTCCTTCCTATGGATCTCTGACCGGGTCGTGTTTCTTATTTCCTGTTTAGTTTATTCCTAAAAGACGAGATGTTTGTTTTTGAGATTCTTCTATCGTTTTCACAATCAGTTTTTGTGTTTTTTGTTTTCAAGGTTTTAATCGTCTTAATCATGTTTGTGTTTTTAATTGATGATGCCGTTTGTCACATTTTTATTACATTCTGAATATAAAAAATATGGAGAAATGATCCCGTCTGATTTTTTTATTTTATTTTAAATTAATTTTAAAAATGTAGTTGTTTGAATTTTCTCTTATTGGTGTGACGTGAAATGGACGTTTTTGTAAATAATTTAAAGGAAACTCAAAACACACCGATAATCGAGTTAATTGACCCTTGACTGGATGAAAAGATGAAAATAGAAGCAAAGTGAATTAACACATCACAAGTTTTTACAAGTGTCATCAACATGGAAAAGTATGTTACAGTGAAACATCTTTGTTTAACCAGAAACGGTCGATGGCTCTCGTCACACCGGACTCCGTTGACAAAAACGGTCCTTTTTAAACACTCACCAAACTGCTGTTTGTCAGTCTTTCCTCTTCATAAAAAAGTGTAGAGATGAACTAAAGCGCTTTTGTTGACTTTAATTTGGTTTTTGTCCAGTTTGAAACGTGTTATTTTTTTTACGACTTGTTAAAATGAGTGTTTCTGTCAACGGAGTCTGGTGTTCACAAAGTGATCTATGCCGTTATATAAAGAAGCACAAGTAAAGATCACGAGATGTTCAATGTGACATAACGAGATTTAAAGTCATGATTTTGAAACATTATGTTTTTGGTTTCTCAGAAGGTGGAAAAAAAAAACTTCGTCACCAGCTGATACTCACTGTCCTCTCCTACTTCCTCCTCTCCTACATCCTCCTCTCCTCTCCTACATCCTCCTGTCCTCTCCTACCTCCTCCTCTCCTCTCCTACATCCTCCTGTCCTCTCCTACATCCTCATCTCCTCCTACATCCTCATCTCCTCTCCTACCTCCTCCTGTCCTCTCCTACATCCTCATCTCCTCTCCTACATCCTCCTGTCCTACCTCCTCCTCCTGTCCTCTCCTACCTCGTCCTCTCCTCTCTTACATCCTCCTGTCCTCTCCTACATCCTCCTCTCCTACCTCATCCTCTCCTCTCTTACCTCCTCTCCTCTCTTACCTCCTCCTCTCCTACCACCTCCTCTCCTCTCCTACATCCTCATCTCCTCTCCTACCTCCTCCTGTCCTCTCCTACCTCCTCCTGTCCTCTCCTACCTCCTTCTTTCCTCCTCTACTTCTTGCCTGTCGGACATCCTCCTTTCCTTCTCCCCATTTCCTTTCGTGTTACTCCTTTTTCTTCTCTACCTTCCTCTTTCCTTTCCTAACTCCTCCTTTCATTCCTTACACTTCATCATTTCCTCCTCCCTTCCCTCTCATTTCCTCCTCCCTTCCCCTTTAAATACTCTGTAAAACAGTAAAGCAGTTTTATACGATCACACAGTTTATTGATAATTAAACATTGAAAACGCTGAAGTGTGAATCTTTAACAGAAGATATTTTCTGATTCGTGTCAGACGATCAGAAATCTGTTTTTATATCAACGTGATTAACTTTCAGGACCAAGTACAGTTTATTTTGGAGAGAATAAATGTTTTGGTAATATATATACGGTATGTAAATATACATACACATTCACATATATATACTGTATGTGATCTTCTGATCTGTGCTTGTAGAAATAGATCAGTTTCTCACTTTGCCTTTTTAAAATTGCTGCAATTTAATTTCTTCGATGATTATTGTATATTTCTGTCATTTATTAAACTCATTTTGAAGAAATAAATGTTCTGTTATTTATTAATATATCTTTATCTTTATTATTGTTGTTTTATTGAACTACACATACGTTTGAATCATTTATGTTTTCAGTTACAGTTCTTGATGAAACTGTTGAATATTTGAATTAAATGTGAAAAATTATTTTTATTGTTATTTAATAAAATTAACAAAAAAGAGAAACCGCTGGACAAATATCCAGACTAAAGATAGTGATTGTTTATAATAATGTAATTTATATTCATTTTGTTATGTAATGTTAGTTATTCATTTATTAATTATTTAAACCGATTTAATTTTCAGAACATGATTTTTGATTTTATCTTCTTGTGTGTAACAACCATCATAACTCTTTGTTTTACATTTATTTTTTATATTTGTGTTTCTGTTTGTTTTATTCTGCATTGAATACTTTAAATGTTTATTTCTATACTTATGTATATCCATAGACACTTTTTTACTGACGAAACATTTTGAATGCAATACTTTTACTCGTAACAGAGTTTTATAGTGTGGTATTAGTACTTTTATTCTAGTAAATGATCTGAATACTTCCTCCTCTTTCATAGTGGCCATCTTTACACCTCTTGTGTTTCTGTAAAATGAGTGGAACAGCGCCCCTCTGGGTTTATATGGCAGCCTGTGCGGTCAAAGGCGGTACTGCAGTCACATTAGTGCGATCAAAGAGATGATTAACCATTAAAACATAAACGTTCATATGTGGTGAAACTATAATTTATTTTTGGAAATAAAACCATTGAGTCTCAGGTCAGTGCTCCAGTATTTAAGTAATTATGGGATGTTTATTTAAATGAAACGGGTGAAGGAGCTTCTTTAGCAGCGATGGCGGGAGCTCCGTTAATAAACAAACAAGATGGCGGCATGAAGAGCGGGAACGTTACAGGACGTCATGGATACGGAGCAGTTTACAGTCAAAGGAAAAGACGACTAGAAATAATGTGAGTTAAATATAACTTCATGTTATCAATTCAATAATAAAAGCCTTCGACATATAATATTCACAGGTGAGTATTTGTATGATTGTGTTTATTAGTCACGGTCACATTGTGTAAAGGCCTTCAGCCTCTGGTTGGGTGAGTTAATTGTGTGGTTTGTTATTCTACTACAACTATGAGCTTATTGTTGTTATCGAATGATCGGCTGGTTATTTTCTCTATTAATCATTTAGTCCATTAAAATGTTAGAAAATAGTGAAAAAGAGCCGAGGTGACGTCTTCAGAGGTCTTATTTTGTCCAAAACAAACATATTTAATCTTCTATCACCAGAGACAAAACAAAACCACCAACTATTAGTACAAAAACCTTCTGACTGATACTTTCTGAAGCACCAAGTGTTCTTCACTGTGTCTGGTGAGCAGCAGCTGAAACAAGCTTACGCTGAAATAAAACCATTTTCATGAGATTACAGGAAGTATTATGTTATATTCATGTTGTTCATACGTACAGGATATGAACGATGTCATACAAATGTTGAAAAGGTATGTTTCCATGTTGTAATCTTTGAAAGTTAAGACTCCATCTTTTGATTATGACATCAATCATTAAAAAGAGTTGAATTTCTTTGATAATTTCTTTTACAAAAATTGGAAAATAATAGAATCTATAAATCCAACATTTTTCCAAGTGTCCGCAAGTGTTAGCAATATTGGAAAAAATGGAGGCTCAGGGGATCCTGTAAACAGAAAATTTGGCTTGTGTCTTCCTAGGAGAGCTAGCATTTTATACATTAGCGGCTTGTTGTCGCCGAGGCCATTCAGAGAGAGAAGCCGACGAGCCCGCTCAGAGAAGTCAGAAAGTCAGAAAATCTTTAACAGGTGATCTTTCAAGGCACCGTACTTGTCCTTCTCTGGAGGATTTTCGAGGATGCTCACCACTCTGCCTGCTGTCGAACTGCTGAGGGCCGCTACGACATAATAGTATTTCGTATTATCCACGTTAACGTCTCTGAGAGCGAACTGTGCTTCAGTTTCAGCAAACCAGACGGATGCTTGCGTCTCCCAAAACTCCGGCAGCTTGAGCTAAAGTGCGTCATGTTCGTCTCTGGAAACGTCCAGTAGACTCAGGGTCACCAATGTAGGAGCGCCGGAAGTACAGCAAACCTCTCTTTGTGGCTGCACACCACTGTCGCCGTTTATTTCAACTCCCAAAAACATGACATCCTGAAACACTAGATGTACTTAGTTACATTACACCACTGATGGAACAAGAGCACAAAGCTCTTCAAAGATCTAGCGCAGGCATGGGCAAACTACGGCCCGTTGGGCTTTTTAATCCGGCCTGTCAAATATTGGTACAA